TCAGCCTAAGCTAAGCCCACTGAACTCAGTCTAAGCTGGAAGTTCCCTGCAGCCACCTAAAGCTTTGGGCATTATGTTTGGGAACAAATGCATTTTAAAATACAATAGGACTGTGTAAACACTAGCAAATATAAGCTATTCTCTTGCGCTTTCCCTATATTCAATCTGATCCCCAGATCTCTTATCTGTAGTTTATTTCTCTGTTTGGTACGCGTGATTAGCGAATGCCGTTTCAACCAAATGCTTTTTTGTCTATTAATCCATGCAGTCTAGATACATCAAAAGTTAAATATTTTGATCAAAAATTTTCTATAACTTTTCAAACAAATATTAAAAGATACCAGTGTGAATTGGACTGGAAAAAAAAAATCTCTGGAATTTTCTGAAGAAAGTTGCTTTTCTCCCCGGCTCCATTAATTATATGGTTAGAGTTTAATATTTTTGTAAAAGAGGTATTTTCTTGAAAAGAACTGAGAAATAAGCAATCCCTTATTTACACTAGCATTAGCTAGGGAAGAAAAAAACCACCCAAAATGAAATAGAAACAAAGCAGGGGTAGTCAAGGCTCTTTTATATCATATCCTTTTTCTTTCCGCATGGTTGAGGGTATCTGTCTCAGTCAAATCAGTCTTGCATGAAAAAACGCCATGCTTCGTGTATTCCCCAGCCAGTGAGAAGAACGCAGTGAAACCACTCCAGAATGTTACAGGCGTCTAATTCAGCATGATGTGAGCACTCACACCCTGTGATGCCTGGTGACTAATGGGAGCCTGTAATTCTCATCCAGAATTAGCAGTTCAGGTCACTGGGAAGCTCAGGTTCCTCAGGATCGGGGAGATCTTGAATGCAAACCGCCCCGAGGGAAAGCATCTGAACTTTAACAATTCTCTCTCCCACTCCACCGCTTTGGCACGTCTCGGAGCAGCATAACCTAAACTTAGAGAAGCTGCATTGTATTCCCCACAGCAGCTTTTTCCCCCCCCTCCCCATACAGGTGCACCTAATCTCAAACGCAGCAAACTGCGATTCATTTTAAAGCTTTTTTCCTGCCTCT